TGTCGCTTTTGTAATCATTCTTTTATTATCATTATCCTTGTTGTTATTATCATTTAATACTATCATTATCATTATTATTTTTATGATTGTTACAAATATTATTACTATTATTATTTTTTCCAATCAATATTATCATTATCTTGTTGAGGAAAGCCACCATGTGGGTCGCTCTCTATCGGCTCCCTGTCATAGAGTGTCAGATGTCATGGTCAGATGTGCTGTCCAGTGTCTCGTACAAACAAGAGACGAAACCTATGTCACGGATAGTCTTTTTTTGCTGTTTAGTCGGGTCTTCGGTGCAATGTTATTCCATGGCACTAACAACACTCTGTTAAATGAATCTGTTATTAAACCAATCCCAGAATATGCAATGAACTCTTCTAATTATCGTGCAATATTCCGGAACTCAGTAATTAGTAAAATAGCTGATTGCATTATGATTTATTTAATTAGAAACAAAATCACAGCATCTCAATTCCAATGTGCATATAAAATAAAAATGTTCCGCCACATTATGTCCATTCAGAGCGAGTGAAATAATCCAGTATTACCAGTCTCATGGGTTTAACGTGTACAAGCTCCGCCTAACTCGATGCTACTAAAGCCTTTGATAGAGTACAGTAAATTGTTTAATCTTCTTGAAAGAATGATCAGCCCACTCATAATTCGCCTCCTGGTTAATTTGTACCTAGGAAGCACGGTCGTTGTTAGCTGGAATGGAGTGGTCTCTGATGCGTTTGTCTTCTAAGCTCATTACTATCTTTTTATCTCTCTAAATCCTCTAGTTAAATTAAGTGAAAGTGGGTTCGGATGCCACATGGGGAACGCCTGTTCTAATGCATTTGTTTATGCGGACGATTTAATACTTTTAACACCATGTTCTGCCATTAGGAAATTAATACAGATCTGGGAAGAGTATGCTATAGAGTATGATTTGAAATTCAACCCTACAAATGTAACTTAATGCTTTTCACTGATTCCAGCTTCCCCTCTGATAGAGTTGTGATTAAGATGTTTGAGAGTGATATCAAAAACATTAGAAATGAGAAGCCCCTGAGTGCCTATCAGTGTATGGGTGCCAGATGTGGTATCTTGATGACCCCTTTACTCGATGGCTTAAGTACAATCAGGAAAGTGCGTTGTCGTAAACTCATAGGCTTCCCTCCTTGTAAACATTCAGAATTTTTGTCCAGTGTCATGAATTCATTCCCCACTTGAAACATCGTCAAGGAAAAGGTTTGTTTTTATTATTATAGGTCTAATGCATTCGATAGAGCAAATTTCCTTTTTTCAGACACTTTAACTTCCTGTTCACCATGTGTTGAATTATTTTGGTATCAAGTATCACGAGTTGTTTGTATGGCGCAGTGGTAGCTATCTCGTCTAGCAATCCCGCGTTCAAATCCCTCGCCGCCAGTGGATGAAAACCCCGGCCATTCCTTGCACACAGGGGGTAATGTAGAATGAAACAGACAGCAAGAGTATCCATTGTAACAATTGGAATCAAACTAAATCATTATCATTATTTATTTGATATTGAAAAGAAATGGTACAAACCCGAGTGTGTACCGTAAGTGACCCCGACCTTTAACAAACAAATATGATAAAAGAATTATTGAGTGTAAGGGATGATCAGCTACAATGTAACTTAGTGCCGAACGAATTCAAATTCATTTTAAAGGAAGTGTGTAGAGGGAGTTAAGGCTACGGTTTTACGTTTTAACGTATACTGTTAAGACTGTTTTTACTTCCGTATCTTATTTTTTTTTTTATCAAATATAACTTCCTATCATTTTTATCGTTATGCATGTGATAATGTATTTTAGTGTAAGAATAAACATTTCCTTTCATTATTATTAGTACTGTTATTATTATTATTATTATTATTATTATTATTATTATTATTATTGTTACTATTATTATGATCAATAGTATTATTATTTCATTACTATTATTAATATCGTTATTATTGCCGTTATTATTGCTATTATTATTATTATTATTATTATTATTATTATTATTATTATTATTATTATTATCATTATCATTATCTTTATCATTATCATTATTACCAATATTATTATTATTATTGTTATCATAATTGTTATTATTATTATTATTATTGCTTTTACTATTAGTACTATTATGATTATCACTATTGTAATTATTATTGTTATTATTACTAATAGCATCATTATCATTATCATTGGCATCATTATTGTTTTTTATTATTACTGTTATCATTACTGTTATTGTTTTTATTACTTTCCCTATTATTATTGTTATTATTATCATTATAATTATTACTATTATATTCATTACTATTATTATCATCATAAATTTTGTCATTATTATTATTATCATAAATATCATAAAAAAAAAATGTACTATTATTTTTTTCATTGTTATTATTATTCTTATTATTATTATTATCATTACTATTAATATTATTGCTATTATTAGCATCATTGTTATCATCATCATTATCATTATCATTATT